AGGTGAGGCTTACAGGCCTATAGTTACTTGTGTCCTCCTTCCTCCCTTTCTTGAAAATTGGGACCACATTAGCCAGTTTCCAATCCCCCGGCACCTGGCCAGATGACCATGAATGCTTATACAGCCGGGCCAAGGGCTCCGCGATGACCCCTGCCAGTTCCCTCAACACCCTTGGGAGGAGGGCATCTGGACCTGTGGATTTTAAAAATGTCTAGCCCTTCCAGAAGATCCCTAACTACATCTGTGCTGACTGAAGGCCTGACAGGGCTATCCTCAAGATTGTCCCTACCTCTGGGACAAGCAAACTGTCCCTAACTCTGCTACCTCTAGCAGCAGGAAGCATACTGGCATCACGTGGCTGAGCTCCCAGGGCAAAGGCAGCAGGGCACAGAGCCCCAGCCTGCCTCTGCTCCGTGTGGGGCACATGCCCCTTATGCTTCCCCCAGGGATACACACAGCTCCAGGGAGCCATGCCCCCCCCTCCCTCCCTCCACACCTCTGGATGACCTGCCCCTGCTCCGGGGCCTCATTCATCCCAAACACTGCCCAAGTCCCTCTCTCACCATGGGGGCCTCGATCTGTGCTCACTCCCACTCTATGGACTGACTGACTGGAGATTTCAGGGTTTGATTGGGAGATCATGAGTCGGAATTATTTTGACTTAGAAATTCACGATGTTTTCATGACGGTTGGCATTACTACATCAGGCCTGCTGCTCTCACCAGCGTGCTGCTATTCCTTTCTTCACACAACAGCCTGCCGAGACCACAACTTGAACTTCTGGTGTTTCTGTTAATGTTACTGATAACATCAAAAGCTTTGGAGAAGAGCAGAGCTGAAAGCCTCCTGCCAATTTAAGACTTAGGCATTTGTCATCCACTCTTCTGTGGATAGCAATGATCACTGAACTCAGACTTTATAAGATACTGGATTTCTGGTGATTAAAGCTGCACACATCCTTACTAATTTGAGAGCGCAAACGTTATCTTTTCCTCCCTCTGCCCCAGCTGACCAGCATACAGCCTTCGGATAAGGAATCTCTGGGACAGCAGCTTCAAAACACCGTGACATCAACCCTTTTTTTTGCACGCCTCTTACCTATAATAAACGCCAATATGTCCTTCTTCAATTTTGTGTATGGCAGAGAAGAACGCTGCAGCCACAAAACTCAGAGTCACTGCTGCTATAGCACCTAGCTGAGCCATCCCTGAGAGTAAGCCCTGAGGTAACAAAAAGGAGGACACATATGGTCACAGCTCGACATGAAGAGGAGAGGTTTATTACAGGCAGGGAGCTGAACACCAACAGAGGCAGGACTCTGCACTTCTGCTTCTCTGGCATTTCCGGGAGGTCGGGGCTTCCCCAGCTTACCAAACAGTGACAGCGGAGCAGGGAGCTAGCGCAACCCTCACTGCAAAGCAACTATAAAGCAGAGAGCTGAGCCTAGGAGTCCTGCCATGACCCCTCTCACTCTTGCTTGGCTTTGTGCCAATAACCCTTGTTTCCCGCCCTCCCATGCCAGGGCTGCGGCTCTGCAATCACCAAGCCAAACATTAGCTGAGATGGGTCCCAAACCCCGTCCTCGGCCTGTGTGGCAGGGCCTTGTACCACCGTGCCTCCTGGCTTTCCCCTGCACAGGGGAGGGGGCTGCTCAGGCCAGACGCCCTGAATGAGGCAGGGGATGAAAGGCCCAGCCCCAGGCAGCATGCACTAGGGCTGCTAATCTGCTAAAACGATCCACCCCAGGCCTGGCCACTAATCCTGGGCCCGGTCACTGCCCCTTGCCCTGGGGCTGCCGAGGCCGGGGGGCGGGGACACGTGCTCTGCCCCAGCCCCACAGGGCCCACACTCACCCCCTCCTGCCGCAGCGCTTCCGGGTGTCGCGCCGGTGACGCCATCACTACGCGCCGCCCCGCCCGGCCCAGCCCTGCAGGTCTAGCGGCCGCGCCTGCAGGGGGCGCCAAAGCTCCACCGCTGCCTGGCCTCGCGGGAGCGCAGCGAGCTCCGCGCCGCCCCGCCCCGCCCCGCCCCGCCGTGCTGCTGGGGCTGGCCGAGGGGGGGGCAGCAAAACCCGGCCAAAATGCCCCCCCGGCTGCAGGGGCAGGGGCGCTGGGGCACCCAAAGTCATCCGCCTCCCCGGCTGCTTGCATGGAGGGGCCGCTGCCTGGGTCCTGCCCCTCCAAGCCAGCTGTCAGCTGCAGGCACCAGGCCTTCAACCTCTGGGTTTATATTTAGAGAGGGGGGGTGTGTGTGTAAATAAAAATATATTTTGAAAACTTTTTAAAGATATAAAATACACACACAGATATATACGCATACATGTACGCGTGCACACACACACATATGGCCAGGAGAGGGTTCAGAGGAGGGTTGCTCGTCTGGTTAAAGGCCTACAGAAAACCCCCTATGTGGACTGATTGGGAGACCTGGATCTCTTCAGCCTCTGCCAGAGAAGTGATCTCGTGGCCACCTATGAATTCAATGGGGGGGGGCAGCAAAAAATGGGCAGGGGTGGGCAAAATGTGGCCCTGGGGCCGGATGTGCCCCACTAGGCCGTTCTATCCGGCCCACAGGGCCCCTAAAAATTTAGAAAACGAAGATTAATCTGCCCGGGGCTGCCTGTCACGCGGCCCTCGATGGCTTGCCGAAACTCAGTAAGCCCTCTGCCCAAAATAATTGCCCGCCCCTGACATAGGGGACACAATGTGTACCAGGGCACCTGTCGGGATAGCTAGAAATAATGGCCGCAAACTGGAAGAGAGCAAATTCAGACTGGACATCAGGAATAAATTCTTTACGGTGCAGGTTGCCAAAATACGGAATAAGCTTCCAAGGGAGACGGTTCCCAGGTCAAATTAGCCAGATCGCTTCCGAATCCTTTGAATCATTCAAAAGCCTTATGTGGCCATACTGCCCGCAAGTATCCTCCACTGCAGACTTTTCAGCCTGGGGCTTCAGAGACTTCCAAATCCTTTGGCAGGCATCCTACGTGCAGGCCCGAGCCTGGAGGTTTGGGGTTCAGATGCCCCCAAGTTTCACTTGCCCACAGCCGTAGGGCCACAGGAGCAAGCTAGGCATTGCCATCGGGTTGGGGTGTAGCCGAGGTCCTCCCGCTGGAAGCTAGCCCGTGGGAAGCTAACTGGGAGGCTCCTGTAGGGAGTCCTGTTTGCATGCAGACGGGTGCACCCTCGGCTACACAGTGCCATTTTAAAATGCATTTTGGCTCGGGTATCAGACCAGTGCAGCGACCACGTTTGATCTTCGCCTAGAAGAGGCCAAGAACCTCTGTCGTCAAGTGTTCAGCAAAGGGACCTACCTGCTCTGCCACTAGCAGCCTTCCCCCCTTTGCCGGCGTTTCACCAGGCAGCCGAGTTAGGAGGAGGTGTGGGGTCAGAAGATCAGCCAAGCAAAGAACCTAATAACTGCCATGGGCTGGGCCAGACCCTAGCCTAGGTCCATTCAGATGCGGTGCCCCTTGCTCCTGTGCTCGATAGTCCTCAAAGCCCCTTGCCCTCCTAGTCTTCAAGGAAAGGGACTAAGTGTTACCTAGCATCTGGGAGCGTCTGGCTTCTAGTCCCTAGGCCTGCTGAAGCTCCCTTATGGCAGCCCTGTTCATTTTATCCAGTGCACGTAAAACATAGGGGCAGGAGCCAGAACCCATGGCCCCTTATTTTCCAGGACAGTGCCCTCATTGCTTATCACACACTCTAGGGCTTGCTTATTTCCTAGCCCCATATATCTTCCCCTCGTAGTTCCCCAGGGAAGCAACCTTGACAGGAGGCCTCATGGGGGAAGGCCAAACCTATGGCCTGCTGGTTAGGGTAATTTCCTGCAAAAGACACCGCAGGTTCAAGCCTCACTATTGGTGATGGGCAGGGCAGGTACTACTTCTGCAAAGGCCACAGAGCTGCAATTCCTGTTCCAGGTGGGACAGGACTGCAGGGAGCATGGAGAGCCAAGCACCTGCACAGATTTCATTGCCTAAGTGCTACCTACCTGCTGAAAAGTAAGGGCTGCATTTGGGCCTTCTCTAACCAGCTGTCGCACCCTGTAACATGCCACAAAAAAGTCAGGGCGCCTGGGATGCTGAGAGAACCGCGGAGCCTGCAACCTGGGGGAACGCACAAATCAGTGCTGAAAAGCTTTCCCCCTTCCCCGGCGCCAGCCTGCACCTGCTTCTGCCTGCAGTACTACAAGGCGGCACAAAACCCCTCCAATGATGACTTAGGCGCACAGAAATACCTTCCTCAACAACTGCGAATATGCAAACAAGTACGTTTAATTGCCTGCAGCCATTGCCCCACCGCAGGGCCACTGTGCCGTCAGCTCTCAGGGCTGTGCTTGATGCACAGGAGAACGCACAGGCTGAAGAGTGTGGCAGTGCTTTGGCCGGACACAGGGTCCCATGCTGGTGCAAGGGCTTGTGGGTTGGCGTATCATCCACTTGGAATAAGATGCAAACCCTTTTCTTCTGTCCAGGGCTGGATGAAACCCCCCAAATGGCTGGGAAGTAGCACCGGGGAGATCTTTGTGACACAAAGCTTTAAGGAAAGGTGGGATGGATTAAAGGGCAGAATAAGGAGACTTCCTCTCATCTTGGGACTCGCAGCCATGGGCGGTGCGGGGGAAGCCTGCATCCCAAAGAGAGCCTGGGGTTAGGCACATAACCTGCCCCTCTTTTCCAAGTCCTCTCTGCACAGGAGAGATTTCAGCAAGTTTTCTCAGGATTCAAAAACTCCTTAACTCCCCCTGACGGACACTAATCCAATGTCAGTCTCCAGCTGCAAAGTGGCTGTTAGACCGTGTCACAAATTCCAAGCTTCTCCTATTCCGGGTTTGACAAATCTGTAGGTGATTTAAAAAATCTGTTCCCTATTTAGATGCCTGTTGGGCCAGGCGGAGGAGCCAGAATAGGGAAAGTGACAGACCATGCAAAAATCTATTAAATCTTCTGCTTCTATAATTGTTGAAGGGGACTTAGAAAACATAGAAAAGACATATAAAATGTCAATAAAGGAGAATAATTTGATCTTTACACTCGATAGATCTCCGAGCGTATATATTACAAACCTGTCAGAAGAATTCAGCGCCGTTCAGAAAGAAGGAATGAAAGAGCCGCGATATTTGTCAATCCAAATTTTACAGCCTTTAAATAAGTGCAAAAGGGCTCCTGTGATGAAATATGCCCTGCATTAGATGTTTTAAATGCTCGCCCAGATTTAAGTCCTTGATAAAATGTATTAAATCTTTAAAGGTTTTAATGAATCTAGTATGTGTTTCATAAATCAAGAACGTCTGCTCAGCCCCCTCTCAGTTTAATAAGGGTAAACTAGGAAATTGCTTTGAGCTGAAGCAAAATGCATTCGTATAATATTGGAAAGTAATAGATTTTTAAATGTAGGGTGTTTTTTTGGCTGGCAGATGAGGTTTTGCTTCATAACACTCAAGCCTATATCATTACTTTAAATGGGAAACCATCTGTGGCCACGTGCTTAACAGTATCAAGATGTGAACTTGCACAAAGGTAAATATTATTTGTAATAATCCTGGAAAAAAATAGCCAAAAAATCATTACTTTGAGACCCCAGGCCAGGAACATTCGGTGGTGCCTGCTACAGATCTCGCTGGCTTTTAACAGCTTGGTTTTTTTTAGATTAACAAATGGTTCATTACAGCCACTTCTCTCCAGCACTCGAGAGCTTTCTTTGCAAGCCTCGGTTCCTTGGTGCCCTGTAGAAGTGCAGTCGGGATAAAAATATTCTGTGGGTTTTACTGCAAAGCTAATTGAGACAAGTTTGAAAGTCTTTGAAATCTGCTTGTTAACGCCATTGTCTCCAGCCTGTCTGCAGGAGGGGCAAGAAAGTCACTCCCCTTTTAATAAAGGTGCAATATTTTATTTCATTACCTTTCCCCTCGCCCTTTACAAGCCCCGGCTATAAAAGCATGAAAGGGAAGGCTTGATAATGGATTACAACAGGTGGACAAACACTGTGTTAAAAGTGAGTTGGCTCTTTGTCTATTGTCTTAGGGGAAACCAAACATTCTTTGCTCTTTGTGTACGAAAGCTTGCGGTGTTGTTAAGCTCTGCGGGAGACAAACTGGGGGCCCCATAAAGTGCTGTGTAAAAGTCTGTCTAACCTCATTAACTGTCACAAGTAACAATACCGAGCTGGCAATAAAGGCAATTTCGAGCCTGTTGGTCATTAATCACCGCTTGACAGTTTTGAATAGAGGTGGAAAAACTGTGTCCCCACGGCTCCTGCTTGGGAGTTTAAGGTTACCTCCATGCGTACCATACATGACGGACGCGTTATTGGGAGACGCGGGGACATCGGTCAATAATAACAATAGCATCATGCAGCACGAATCTCACACTGTCAAGCGAGCTACGAACGGGGCCTCCACGTTACCTCTCAGTCGCCGTGTTTAGGTTGTGAGTGTGTGGCCAAGATGCGACTGCCACAAGGCCCACGCTAAACCCTTGGCCCACAGAAAATGCCTGGTGGGGCCAGGGGAGATGGACCGTGCCTGGGAAAAGGAGCACTCTGAGCAATGGCACAGCTCTGACTCATTTCTGGCCCATGGTGTAAGCTCTGTGACTGGCTAGAAGGGTGTTTACCTCTTGACGAAGGTAGTTGCAAGTGTTTCCCGGTGTTAATGGCCGGGTCCTGGGGACTGGTTGGCATCCGGGGTCTTTCCTGGGGTGAAGAACTTGCCTGTTGTAACCCAATGATGGATGCAGATCAGGAGTTACAACCAGCCAGCGGCTGTAAAACAAGTCGGAGGGCTCAGGCTTTGTTGCCGGTGGACCAGCACACGTGTTAGTACTCCAGTTCCCTTACGAAAGACTCGGGGAGAGGCTGATATTGAAGCTCTGGGGGCTGTTCCCGAGCACCGCTGCT